AAACGTTATTCTGTTCCCGGGTAGCTCACATAACCCCCTCCCTTAAACACCTCCCACCCCCCTTATCCCACCTTTCCCCATCCCAACATTTGTTTGTCTCTTTTGTCGCCTCCGGCAGATGTTTCCCACATCAGTCCACAACAATTGGCAGCAGCTCATGTTTCACAATAAAGGCTGGCTGCTTTTTTTAAACAAAAAGACAATGAAGTGTTTGTCCCGGGCGGTGGCTATAAACTCACTGCTGCCTCTTCACAAACTCCTTTCAACTCTTTCGCCTGAACTCAATGGGATGTTAATGCGGCTCATTGGGGCATTCTCGGCTATTCATTCGTCCCTCCAGCTTTTATGTCTCAAATCAAACTCGAGTGACTTAAACAAGCTCCAGAAGAGTCCATCGAGGTTGTGTTTGGTCTTGAGTTCTCTCAAAGGCCTGTCGCGTGCCAAAATCCCCCTTTCAACCTGCTCCCAAAACTGGCTGCAGATTGCAGCATCTTTTGCTGCAGGATCCAATCGAGTTCTCAGGGATGCTCCCACTTTGATTGTGCGCCCGGAGCAGGCGGCTTCTCTCTCCCTGTCTCTGTCGGCGAGTTGGGGCTCGGGGGGATTTCAATGAGACGGAGGCGTTTCCGCGATTTTCCTCGCTGTGAGGAGTCGTCCTGGCTGAAGGCTGCTGTGTCAGGGAATGGATCCCATTGAATATGATAAACAGGAGGCCCCAGGGATTCGCTCCAACTCAGCAAATTGCTCCTTTTATGCTTTTTTTTTGGTCTTTTGAAGTGGTTATAAAGTAAAAGTGTTGATCAGATTGGATTCAAACTGGGAGAGAAATTGAGTCAAGATTGCAGCAAAAAATAAATGACAGAGAATGTTAAACTGGGTGGGGGGGGCGCAAGTATAATGTTGGGAAATGTAATCTTCAGCGGCGGAAAACTGGCTTCCTTCAAACATTTGTTGAGAAGCAGTTTAAATCCCACGGTAGCAGGACAGCCTGCTCCCTCCGCCCATCTCCAGGACAGGGTTAGGTTTAACCTCTACATTTCTAACTTGTGCAAAACGGCCTCAAGATCTCCTCTGCACTGTTCGCCTCATTCTGCATGATCTACTTCAGAAACCTCAGTCTCAATGCACCCCCCTCCCCTTGGCCCTTATACACTGCCTCTTACCCCTCTCCCGATGCCCACTCAGAAACCTCAGACAGATTTACATGGAAGTTCCGCCCATGTGAATCGTACCGGTCTATAAGACCCACTACAGCTTCCTTCCACTCAGCCATCCCCATCAGCGGGCCTTCCCAATCCTTTCCCCTTCATTTGCTTCCCTCGTTTCCCCTTCAATGTCTCTATGCGCTTGGCCTGAGTCAAGCCCCCTTAATGTAGCAGCGAGACCAACATTCTCACGACTCTTTGGGTGAGGAGGTCGTCTCCTCGTCCTTTTCTTGCTGACCATGGCCTTGGTCTCTCCCACAACTTTATGTCTACTCCACCAAATTCTTTCAGCATTTTCAAGACAATCATGAGGACTTTGCCAGCGAAAAGACGGTTCAGAGTTGGATGAACACAGCAGGCCAAGCAGCATCAGAGGAGCAGGAAGGCTGACGTTTTCTGAAGAAAGGTCTAGGCCCAAAACGTCAGCTTTCCTGCGCCTCTGATACTGCTTGGCCTGCTGTGTTCATCCAGCTCTGCACCTTGTTATCTCAGATTGACCAGCATCTGCAGTTCCTGCTATCTCTGAAAAGACGGTTCAGTTTTTTTTTGTAATGGATTAAGGTTTGTTTTACATATATATATAGCATTCTAGTGAATCTCCTGCGCACCTTTCACGGTGCATCGTTTGAAGTATAAAGACCAAGACTTCAAGCGCTATTTTTTGGTTGTCTCAAAGGCCCTGCCCTTTTCCGCTTCTCTTTCACGTACCACATGGCAGCTCGCCAGATCGACTCCGCAATCCACATGGAAACACGGTGCTTTCAGTCAACGTGCGGAGGGTGTGCCCCAGAGAACTGGCGGCAGGGTTATGGTATCACAGTGATAAAGAATCCAGCTGAGGGGCCTGCAGAATAACAACGACGTCGGTTCCCAAAGGCCTTGCATCCAACAGTGACATGGCCTTTTGGTTTGACCTTGCTCATCGAGCAAATATGAAATGCCCCAGCATTATAAACAAAGCCTATTATTGCATGTGAAATAGACACAGGAATAGTTTACTAGAATACAACCGCCTGAAAAGGCGATGGAAGCAAATCGAACAGTAATTGGACATACCCTTAAAAAGGTAGCCAATGGCAGGATTCTAGGGAAAGAGTGAGAGGAATTGGAGCGCTCCTTCAAAGAGCTAATACACGTGCGATGGGCTGAAGGGTTTACAGTGCTGCTAGATTATATGAATAATGGGCCATAAACGATGGGGTTTTTTGCTGTAATGGAAAAAAAAGTTTTTTTTTTACCCGTTGTATGTATTCTATCGAAACAAAACAGAAATTGCTGGAAAAACACTGCAGCATCTGTGGACAGAAATCAGAGTTAACGTTTCGGGTCCAGTGACCTTTCTTCAGAACTGAAGAATATTCCCATCGAATATTGAACGGACGGGAATAGGTTGAACTGTTAGCTTTACTGTTTAAGGGTTTGTGTCTAAGTGAACAGATTCGCTTCCCTTAATAACTAATATTACCAACGAGAAACGAGAATGTTGTAACGTTCTGAGTTCAAAATTACGTGACTTTTTAATTTGAAAAAAGCAATTAAATTTCCCATATAAATATTCCCCATTTGTACTGATTTAATAGGGCGACGTGATTTTTGAATGCCTGAATTTGGCTTCTAGGACAATCCCATCTCCCAGCGAATCCCTGGAGTCCACTTTCTGGTTGTTCAGACCATTCGTCATGTCCCCCCACCCATCTCTCTTTCTCCCTTTCACTTTATCGAAAACAGGAGCTTTACATTCCCAGAAAGATCAGGCTTTTCTATTGTTTGGAGAGTTTATCTCGTGGGAATCGATTTCGGAATAAGTGTCCGGTCATTTAAGAGTGAATTAAGGAGACATTCCTACACTCAGCAAATTCTGACTGTTTGACATTCTCTCTCTCTCAGAAGATACATAATTCTTGATTATATTCCACATCGAGATTGGTAGACTTTGGGCATTGGGATTATGGGATCGGGTATGGGCAGGCAAATGGAAGTCAGGGGAGAATTGACCACGATCTTACTGACTGGCAGGTCAGGAGCGAGGGCCGCAAGGTGTCCTCTTGCTTATGTTCATTTGTGGCAATGTTGTCACTTCGCACGGTTCTGAACTTTCTCTGTTACAGCGAAAGTCCCCAGTCTCACTGCTGTAAAACAAAACAGCATTCCTTCCCCTAACAGGACCTCGCAACACTCATTCCCCTTCCTCGTTCAATCATTAATCACAGTAAAAGTCAAACACCAAACTTTAACGGAGGGGAATCTTCCTTAAAAAGGCGTTTCTGCCCCTAGGTGCGAGTTCATAACTGGGTTTAGCAGTGAAACAAGATTGTGTAGACGATGGCCTAGTGGTATTAACGCTAGGCTATACATCCAGGCAATGTTCTTGGGACTTGGGTGGAATCCCACCATATAGTGTATTTTATATTCAATAGTAATGACTCAAATGATTCAATAACAAACATAAGCTTAATGGTGACCATGAAACCATTGTCAATTGTTGGGAAAACCCCATCTGGTTCACTGATGCCCTGGTCTGATCTACAAGTGAGTCCAGACCCACTTCAATCTAGTTGACTCTTTACTGCCCTCTGGGCAGTAACAATAAATATTGGTCCGGCCAGTGACGTCCACATCTAATGAATAAAAAAAAGTTGTTTGATCATTGTCACCGTTTTCCCAAATTGAGGTGCTATATAAATGCAATGTTTGAATCCAATTTATTTAAAGAGCAAGTGAACTCCTTCGAAACACACAGAGTACATACAGATAAGTGTCACAATTACCAGCACCGGTCAATCGAATAGAAAGTTGTTTTAAAAATCTTTCTATCCTCCACCAGTCCTTGAGTTTCTGCGAGGGGTGGCGGGATAACAAGAGCTGTGTTCCGGGATTGTCTGCCTGCTGCAGATTGCTGCTGGGAGTTTGGTGGCGGTAAGGTCAGCAGGGGAGCTGGAGGCTGCTGAGAGATTCTGGGCAGAAAATTGTGATTGTGTCAGAACATGGAGATGATTAACACGGTGCTGGCTTTGAGAACAGAGCGTGAAACGGATTTGGGATTTACCAGAGAGCGAGAAATGAGAATTGAATAGCACCCCCACTATGACATTGGCCGCTAGCTCCTTCAGCGAGCGCCCTGTCAGCCACACACACATACACACACACACACACACACTGAGCAGCGGCAATGTTCCGCTTCATTTTCCGCTGGGCCAGGGACATGGCCGCACAAGATGCATCTCACGGTGCATTTCGATTGTGAGTGAATAAATTAAACTGTAAAACATTAGACATGAATGCTTAGAAATCGACCAATAGTTTATTAGTGAATATAATAAAATTAGTACCAGATAATCCTCAACAAGAATCCTTTGTGTTTCAATCAAACCATTTTCTATCTATTTCCGAAGTGTGGACGTTACTGTCCAAATCTCCTCCATCCTTTCCTTCTGCGCGCTTATATTAATATTTGACCTTTTTTTTAGCTTTGTTGGACCTGAGTTGATAAAATGATTCCTTTCATTTTCCTAAAAAGCAACATGTAATCATTCACTCGACCAACTGACAATGGAAGATCAGCTCTGTGTTTCAAATTCAGTGCAGGGGAATAATAAGAACCTTTCTCTTCCCTTTTACAATGGTCGCTTATAACAGGAGCTAGCGACTGCTTTTGCGGGCGGTAAGTCACTGCATTCAGATGCAAAGTGGTGTTGCTGTATAAAACCCTGGAGATGCTCAGTACAGCAGAATATCCTCACGGCCAAGCCCTCAAGCCTCTCAAAAATAAAAACCCTCTCTAAGCCAGATAGTGAAATGAAAAATATCACCAAGCCAGTGGAACGGTTTCAGTCCCCTCTCAGCACACAAGCGTGCATTTACAGAAAGGTGCGTGTGACATTGACAGCAATAGAATTGCAAGACTTTTTTGCCCTCTTCCTAAAATAGTGTTTGAATTGTGGAAAGTACAACGTAGTTAGACCTGTTTATTTTCTATCTCTAGGTTTCAAAACCTTTGATGGAGAAAAAAAGAAGAGCTCGGATCAACGAATGCCTGGAGCAGCTGAAGTCTCTACTGGAGGAACATTACTCCAACAACGTGAGACTTCAGTGTTCACTAATGAGAAATTCTAAACGCCACCAAACGTTGTTTTCTCGTCGTCATCCCGTGAGGGCGATGTTTTGAGATATGCTTTGTAGAAATGTGTTCACCTCTCATCTCCTTACCCTCTCTGGTGATTTTATCTCAATCAGGTTTCCATTTCTCCCCAACAGATCAGGAAACGGAAACTAGAAAAGGCCGATATTTTGGAATTAACAGTGAAACATCTGCGGGATTTGCAAGGTGCGCGCAAAGGTGAGTAGTAACTTTCACTAAAATCATCCAGTGGTATGGGGGGTGGGGAGAGGGGGGCGGTGAAGGGGTGGGGGGAGGGTGAGTGCTATCATTGTTAGTTTCATTTTCCCCCTCAAGATGATATATTTTGAAAGGGATTTTCCATCCCGTTTTCCAAAATGTTTATGCTGTTGCTTGATAACAGTTACAATTATTCCTGATAACAAACTTAGGATCGGGAAAAGGCCCTTTGGCCCTTCGAGTCTGTCTCACTGTGTAATTAGACATGCTGATTTGTAGCTTACCTTAGCTCCACATCCCGAATAACGTTAGCTGCCGAAATTCAACCTTGCAGCTTTATTACCATATGGAACCAGATGAGAGCGAGTGTGTTCTAGATGTCTAGATTAAGCGCTTTGCTGATGGCGGGAATGATTTAATATATTTCTCGGAGCTGATTAACCATGTTCATATGGGAGATGTGTCTGTTACACCGTAATCCAGCGCAGCTTGGTGTTTGAACAGTGGGTTTATAACTTTAAATTCGACCTCCCCAAGCTGCACCTAATGATCAGATGTGGCCGCGTGAGGAGAGGTCGAGCTCCCTGCAGAAACATGGGAAGGTTATGACTAAAGTGTAATTTACTGGCGCATCTCAGATAATAAGTTGCATTAAAAGTGAAGTTGCATAAGTACACGAGAAATAAAAAAGGCAGATGTAATGATGGAAGGATTTGTTAAGGTAGGAACAGGCTCGTCGAGCCGAATGGCCTAGTTCTGCCCTTGAAACGCATATGAAATACAAAATAAAAATAAAAATAGACAAGTGCTATCTGGAAGGATGTGGATTAATGTGTTCCGAGTGTATACGCTTCCTCGGTTCCGAGAGACCCAATAGGTTGGAATGTAGAAAGATTGAATAGGTAGGGAATACACGAGCTTTTACAAAAATAGAACAATTCGATATAAAACCTAAATATCAGCAGTGAGGCGATGTGTTGAAAAGACTCAGGAACTGATGAGCAAAGATTTGCTCCCATGTAACTGATATTGAATGTATTTGGGATTTTAAGGAGTTCTGATGCTGACCCAGGAAGGAGTGGCCGAATACCAAGCTGGATTCCGGAGCTGCTTGAACGGGGTCAGCCAATATCTGCTCCGAAGCAAAAGCACAGACGAGCATTTGCGCCTGGGAGTGCTGAACCACTTGGTTAACGCCTTCCCTGTTTTCTCCGGCTCCCGTTTCAGCACCGCGGACAGCGGCTGCAGGGTCGAAGCTGTGCCGTCGCCCCGGGCTCAGGCCGCCCACTTCCAAGTGGTCACCCCGCCGCCGGGCGAGCTCTCTCCTGCCTTCACCCGGGTGAATAGCCCTGCCAAGCCCACCTCTCCTCCCCACTTAGCTAGAAACAGCAGCCAGAAGAGGCCAGTGGATGAGATCAGATCGGATGATAAGGAAACGGACAAGATTTCCAATTCGGAGCCAGCAAGAGTCCAACAGTTACCATCTCTTATTCCTCAGAGTGAACGGCCCGCTGACAATGTACTTTCCCCTGATTCAGAAACTCTCTGGCGGCCTTGGTAGCGACTGTGATGTGCACAGTGCAGTGCCGTCTCTAACATCTGACACAGTTTTGTGTATTTAAGATGTTGTGTAAATGTGTTGTACAAAATGAGCTTGAAATTTTATTTCTATATTGAGAAACAATAAAGCTTGTAATGTTTAGACATTGTCTCAAAGTTTTGTCTGTGCGTGAACAAGGCTGGGCTTTCCGTGGAGTTAGTAACCAGTTTAAAAGACTTCTCGGGAAGTTATATCCTGGATGAGGAATCAATTCCATATGACCATTTTCAATTCACGTGAATTACAACGTAGACTGGTCTCTTTAGAATGAGTTAGAGAAAAGTTAGAGAAAAGTTAAAAGAGCTCTTTAAATTAAGGTAATCCCAAACCAAGGGTCGTCAAGAGAAAATAGGAAGAGTTTCCACAGGTTTCATTTTTAAAACGAAAGTGTGATTAAACTGAGCGCGAGTCTGGGAATTAACAATGGGGAAAAAAATCCAATGGTGGATGAATTGATCAGATATTGTACACCTATCTTCACCGTCGTGTGTACAAACAACACTTCAGAAATAATTGCAAATGAAGAGCTGAAACCAAGGAGGAACTTTACACAATTACATTCACAAGGGAAACGGTACTGAGAACATTGTCAGAAACAGGCTGATGAGTATTCAGGTCCTCAAAGACTTCAATGCGTGATCTTTAAAAGAAGTGGCTGCTGAGGCAGTAGATGTTATGGTTTTCCGAATTTTCCTAGATTCTAGAAAGGTCTAATCAAATCAGAAGATAGTAAGTGGGACTCATACTTGTAAAAAAAATCTGAAAGCGGGAAGCTACAGGTTAGGGCAGGTCTGTCATAAAGGAATTTCTATAATCCATTATTAAAGGAAGTTATAGTTGGCTACTTAGTAAATCGTAACGCAATCAGACAGCGACAACAACAGTTTTTAAAAGATAAATAACGTTTGACTGATTTGTTCGGATTATTTGAGAAAGTAACAAGCAACACAAATAAAAGTGAAGCTGTAGATTGATATACTTTGAGCTCCAGAAGACATTTGATACATTTTAACAATATTTGTTGTGGCACAAAAATAATTGCTCACGGTTTAGGGGAGTAACATATTAGCACAAATAGAGGACTGGTTACCAACGGGAAACAGATAGTAGGTATCCGTGCATCATTTTTAGGTTGGCAATATGTGATGGGCGGATTGCTACTGGGACCTCAACCATTTACGATGTGTCAATTACTCAAATGTAGGAACTACAAGTGTGATTGCTAAGCTTGATGTTGACACAAAGATAGGAAAATAAATTGTGCAGTAGATATAAAGTGTCTTCCAAAGTAATATAGATAATTTTAGTGAGTCAGCCAATAAAAAAAAGCAATATTATATGTTATGGGAAAGTGTGAACTTGTCTGCTTTGGAAAGCACTGACACGCCAATAGACCCTTTGGTTCCCTTGTCAGTCAGAAGCAATCTATCTCAGCCTTAAAAATGCATAATAACCTTCTCCCAATTGTTATGAAAAAGAATTATTGAGGCTAATGAACCTCGGAGAGAAAAGGAAATTCTCATCTTCTCCTTCTTAAATGGTAGACATTTATTTTTAAACTATGATCTGGTCCTTCCCACAAGTTGACACATCCTTCCAGCATCCACCCTAACAAGTCACCTCAGAATCTCACCAATATCCTGTACAACAACAGCAGAAGTTCCTTATTTTGTATTCCATTCTCCTAGCAATAAACACAACACTCCATTTGCCTTCATAATTACTCGCCGTACTAGAATACTGCCATGTTGCAGTTAATGTACCAAGACATCCAAATTTCCCTGTATCTCAGAGTTCTGCACTTTCTCTCTATTTAAGCAATTGCATTATTCCTAACAAAGTAGACAAGTTTACACTTTCCCATAATATATAATCTTGCTTTTTTTTGGCTGACTCACTTACTTTGGAAGATACCTTATGTCTACTGCAAAATTTACTCTCCTATCTATCTTTGTGTCAACATCAAACTTAGCAATCACACTTGTAGTTCCTACATTTGAGTAATTGACACATCGTAAATGGTTGAGGTCCCAGTGGCAATCCACTCATCACATATTGCCAACCTAAAAATGATGCACTGATGCCTACTATCTGTTTCCCGTTGGTAACCAGTCCTCTTATTTGTGCTAATATGTTACTCCCTTAACTGTGAGCTATTATATTTGTATAATAATACTTGTTGTGGCAACTTGTCAAATGTCTTCTGGAGTTCAAAGTATATGAAACCACAGGTTTGCCTTTGTGTTTTTTGTTACTTTCTCAAATGGCATTTTAAAGTGTTGTAGCTTACACACAGTTTATATAAAAATACTGCTAACGTACAATAAGTCAGCAAGACATGGGGCTGAAATTTACAGGGAGGGGGATTGATCAGTACCCCTGAAAAAAAAAGTCAGAGTCTGACCAGTGTAGATAAAATCTGTTCTCCGACAATAGCACTCTGCAGCCTCCATTAACAGTCTGAAAGTGGAACTGCTACTGCACACTTGTGGAAATCCCACTCCCTAGAACTGTTGGCCAATTTCATTAGCCAGCATTCCAGACCTGGTTACACAAGAGCTCAATGATAGGTACTGCAGGCAGGTCCATGAGAAAGACAGCCATGGATGAAGGGATGAAGCAAGTCAGGGACATACTGGCGAGAATGGTTCGTTATCTTGTGAGCATGGGGTTGCTGTGAGGGAGTCATGGGGCTGAGTTCTGTGTGTGAAAAAGAAGGAAGCTAGTTATTTAGAAAGACATACAGAAAGTTTAATAGTTGTAAGCTTACATCAGAACTATTGTGCACTGTATTAGTCTCTTTATTTGGGGTAGGATATAAACATGAAGGTAGTTCAGAGCAGGTTTATTAGACTGATACCCAAAATGGATAGGGTGTCTTATGATTAAATGCTGGACAGACTGGTCTTGTATCCATTGGAGTTTAAAACAAAAGTGGTGACTTCATTGAAATGTACAAGATCTTGAGAAGTCTTGACAGGGTAGATGTGAAGGGATATTTCCTCTTAAGGGACAAATTAAAATAAGAGGTCACTGTTACAAAATCAGGGATTGTCCGTTGAAAACAATAGTGATTTTATTCCAGTCACAATGTTGTGACTGTTTGAAACTCTCTTCCTGAAAATATAGTTGAAAGAGTCCCTTAATAATACTAAAGCAGAGCTAAATAGATTCTTGTTAAACAAGGAGGTAAATTGTTATTAGAGTAGGTGGAAATGTAGATTGGATGTTACAGACAGATCAGCCATGACCTTATTGTATAGTGGACCAAGCTCAAGAGATTGAATGGCCCACTCCTAATCCATATGTTCATATGCATGGAACTGGATCAATATTTCCAAAGAGAAAAGAACGAATCAGGTCTACTGAGAGAGTCTTACTTCCTTGCTTTAATTGGATACAAATTTCAAAGAACTTGTTTAGGCATCACAGACCAAGTGCCCAGTCTCTCTGCTGTGAGCTCCAACTATTCTAAGTATAAATTATTCAACACAAACCAAGCCAAGTTTTGGCAAAGATCTGTAGCTTGGGTTGTGGGTGAGGTTGTTAACTTGAACAAGCCAGCTCGGCCAGCAAGTCAACAACATCACAGATCAAGCCATTTCATCCAGTGCCAGGTATACATTAGAGCTCACAAAGAAAAGTAGCCTCTGCTTGAACTCTCCGGCCAAGTTGCAATACCACTGTTAAACACCGCAAAATGATCAACCAAAACATAAAAGAAGTTGAAACAGCTGTGGCAAGAAACTCTCAAGACTCATTTAATCAAGTATAGTTCTCAGTGTTACACTGACTTCTTTGGATGTAATTGCCGTGAAATGTTAGAATTGGTGCAAAGTGTTTTCTACAAACTGAAATATAAATCTAGACTTGATTATGGAATAAACAGAGTGTCCAATTAGTTAACCAATTAGAATTCAGTCTCATACCCATTTTGATTAAAAGGATTTGGAAAGGAATGCCAGTCTGACGTTAAACCACCCTGTAGAAATTGTCTAGGAATTAAACACCTGTGACAATTACTGATCCAAGAACTTATGCTTATAGAGTTCCAAGGAAGGGTCACCAGACCCGAAACATTAACTGATTCTTTTTTTCTTCACAGACGCTGCCAGACCTGCTGGGCTTTTCCACCAACTTCTGTTTTTGTTCCTGATTTAGAATGTCCACAATTCTTTTGGTTTTTATGCTTATAGAACTCTTTCAAGGTAGTTACCTTTTTCTAAGGACAGTGCAGGAGTAACATCAGAAAATTTATACTGAGATGAAGGAGCTATTTGGATAGGTGACCAAAAGCTTGGTCAAAGAGATAACTTTTGAGAAATGTCTAAAATGGAAAAAGGAAGTGGTGGAACGATTTAGGGAGGGAATTCAGAGCTTAAGGCCTAAGCAGCTGAAGACACAACGACCGATGGCAGGGTGAAGGGAGTGAGAGATGTGTCAGGGATCAGAATTGGGAGTGGCATAGATATCTTGAAGGGTTGTAGAACTGGAGACTGTTTCAAAAATAAGGAACAGCACAGTCATGGAGAAATTTGGAAATGATAATAAGGATTTTAAAACCCAGGCATTGACAAACATGGACATATCAGTCAGTGAATTAGGATGAATATGTATCTATGTATTTTAAAAATGCAAACACAATCCCCATCACCGTGTGAAGATTTACACTTGAATTCAATCACCCATGCATAACCTTCTCTGTTGAATCATTAAAAAGTGTTGTGCTAGTGATGTTACTAAATTTGCCTCAGATGAGAAGTTGTATATGCACCACTCTCAGGTTGTTGATATAACTGATACAGGGTGTTTAAGAATGAATTATCAATAACAATATGGTCAAATTCAAAAATGCATGAGGCAGCAACTGTATCAGGAAAAGTTATATATCAGGATTTAATTTTTAATTCTTTATACACAGTTTTCTTATCTTTCAATTCGCTGATATCACTGGCTGGTAA